TAACCCCGAAACCCTGAACCCCGAAACCCTGAACCCCAACTCCTCAACCCCTCCTGGAATTTGCGCCGACGCATTGCCCACATCTATTTCATGGCAGCCCGAAGCTGGAGAAGCTGGGTTTAGGGTTGAGGGTTTAGGGTTTAGGGTTCAGGGTTTAGGCACTCTTTCACGGCCTTAAGGCCATAAGCCTGGCACATGGTCCCACAACTGCCCGCCCCTACCCCCTATATCCCTCTCAGGGATTCCATCTCTTTTTTTGGGGGGGGGGATATTGAGAAGAATTGTCTTTTTTAAGGTTCTAGGGGGAGTATAGGCCCCACCCTAAAGGCCTTTCGCAGGGTTTTGAGGGTTTAGGGCTCAAAAGATTTGAGGGTTGCCACGAGTCTCATCTGGGATGTTCCCCCTTCTACTCTCGGTCCTTAATAGGGATTATCGTACCCCTTATGACAATCCCTATCAGGACTGCTAGTAAAAGGGGGAACATCCCAACGTCTCGTGATCTCACGTTGCTTCCGGCTCGAGCTTCTTGGCAGTTCACGAATCGGTGGCCTCAAGGGGTAGGGGCTCCCAAAAACGAGGCTGGGTGGCTTGAAGCGTGCGAAGAATCCGAGCAAGAACGCAGTAGTTTGGGATGTTCTACTTCAATAACGATTCAATAGGGTGTGTCATAGGGGGTGCAAAAATCATCCCTACTAAGGATGCCTACTATAAGCGGGCACATCCCAAGCTCTAGTTCCTGAGAACCCTACAACGGTCAGCTCCCTCCATTTTGGCACTTCGAAGGTACGTAGTGCGACAAGAACCCAGTATGTCGGCCCTACAGCCCGAGACCCCACCCCCCTGCGCCCACCCAACCCCCATTCCCCTCACACTTGCTCACGTTTGGCTTCCTGGCTTCGGGCTTGAGGGTTGGGTTGAGGGGCCCAAGGTTTTGAGGCAGCTCACGGGTCTAGGCCCTAAACCCTAAACCCTAAACCCTAAACCCTAAACCCTAAACCCTAAACCCTTAACCCTTAACCCTTAACCCTTAAACCCTAAACCCTAAATCCTCCAACGAAGGCCTCACCTTTGAAGTCGTACGGGCTCTCCGCGCCCACCCCCCCCAATTCCCAAGTTCCTGAACCAAAAGCTTTGCTGCGGGGTAGGGTCTAGGGTTTCGGGTTTCCGGCTTCGGGTTTCGGGTTTCGGGCTTCGGGTTTCGGGTTTAGGGTTTAGGGTTTCGGGTGTAGGGTTTAGGGTTGAACTCTGCCTTCGTTCCCAGGGAGCCACAGCGGCGGAAGCGGGACCCCAGTGGCCAGGAAGAGTTCGAGGCGCACGGGTTGGGGTTTAGGGTTCAGGGTTCAGGGTTTAGGGTTTAGGGTTTAGGGTTTAGGGTTTAGGGTTTAGGGTTTAGGGTTTAAGGTCGAAGGGTTTGGGGTTTATGGTTAAGCGTTTAGGTGTTAGGCTTTAATTGGGGGTTTAGGGGTTGAGGGGCGAGAACGTTTGAGGGTTTAAGGGTGAAGGCTTTTGGGACGTAGGGTTCAGGACTTTAGGGTTTCAGGCTTGTGGGCTTTGGGGTGAGGGTTTTTGGGCTTCAGGGTTTAAGGGTCTTGGGCTTTAGGGTTTGCAAGGGAATTGGGCTTTAGGGATTCATGGTTTTGGCTTTAGGGGCTTTCAGAATTTTCGGTCAACCGGACTATTCCGAACCACCTCTTGCTCGGGGCCCTAGAAGCCCCTAGTAAGGGTAGGGTTTTTTCGCAGTTTGGAGGTTAGGGTTTAGGGTTTAGGGTTTGGGGTTTAGGGTTTAGGGTTTAGGGTTTAGGGTTTAGGGCTTAGGGCTTAGGGTTTAGGGTTTAGGGTTTAGGGTTTAGGGTTTGGGGCTTGGGGTTTAGGCTTTGGAGCGCTATACTGCGACTCTGATCCTCCCAGTCTAGGCGCGTCAGGCTGGACCCTCTTAGAGGTTGATGGGTGCCCTAAACCCACAGCTCCAAACCCGAAACCCTAAACCCTACCCTAAACCCTAAGCCCTAAGCCCTAAACCCTAAACCCTAAACCCTAAACCCTAAACCCTAAACCCTACACCCTAAACCCCCAACCCCTGCCTTACACCCTGACCCCTTTAAAGCCGAAACAGCCCCAACCGCCTAAGCTGTAAGGCCTTCAGCATGCACCTTCTAGCCCTAAACCCTAAACCCTAAACCCTAAACCCTAAACCCTAAACCCTAAACCCTAAACCCTAAACCCTAAACCCTAAACCCTAAACCCTAAACCTTAAACCCTAAACCCTAAACCCTAAACCCTAAACCCTTCATGAGGCCGAGACTTGCCCTACCGACGATCCCGGTGTTGGGGAGCGCACCAGCCGCAAGTTTTGAGTAGGGTTTAGGGTTTAGGGTTTAGGGTTTAGGGTTATAGTGATTGGGGTAGGATTTAGGGTTTAGGGTTACAGGGTTTGGGGTAGGGTTGAGGGTTTTGTGTGGAGTCTTGTTTGGGTTTAGGGTTTTAGAGTTTTTGGGTTTAGGACCTAGTTTTCTAGGGAATGCGGAAACCCCAGATAGGCCTTAGTTCGCAAGTGTTGAGGGTTTTGTGTAGCCCTGAACTCTAAACTCTGAACGCTAAATTGTGTTAAGGGTCCCAGGTTTAGTGTTTCGGGGCCAGATGCTGACTGTAGTAAGGGCTGAGGGTTTCGCGTTTAAGGCACTAGGGTTTAAGGAAGCAGCGACCCATATAGTGAGTACCGAGAAAAACAAGATCAGCACAAGTTAAGAGAACGTGCGAGCAGGAACAGCTTGCGGGCAGCTACCACAATAGGAGAGCAGGAGACACACTTGTAATCAAGTACTGATACAATATTGCAGTAATGTAATAGCATGATGATATATCAGAATACCATGCGATAGGTCATCTGAAAATGTGATAATCTGGCTATGATAATTAATGTGACAGTATGATAATATGATATTATGACAAGAAGATAGTAGACTACAATAGTATACTAAGAATAATGATGTAATAAGAATAGGTGCGTGGCCGGTTCACCAAGTTATTGTCCCTTCATCGGGGGTTCCCTAAAACGGCAGAGCTGGCATTAGATAATGCGCCCCACATTGGACCTGAGTGTTTGTGGTCATTCACTGCATGCGCACATGCACCGCAGGATTCGCGGGCAGGTGCTTTCTCCTTTGCTCGACGTGAGTGCGGGCTGTATCTGTTTGGCTTTGCAATGCCTTCGACACCTTCCCTGAAACTTGACCCCCTAACTAGCTGTTAACCCTAAGTTGTAAACCCTAAAATCGAAACCCAAAACCCAAAACCCTAAACCGCAAACCCTTAACCCTAAACCCTAAAATCGAAACCCAAAACCCTAAATGCTAACCGGCCAGGGGGCCGAGACATCAGATTCGGGGGTCGAGGGAGGGAGCTCTGTACTCCGCCCTCAACCCCTTAAGCCCTCAACCATAAGCGCCAGGATTTTGAGGGTTTGTGGTCCCTTTAACCCTAAACCCTAAACCCTAAACCCTAAACCCTAAACCCTAAACCTAAACCCAACAGGCACAACCTCCGCAAAAGGAGCCCAATACCCTCTAACCAAGGAACCGAACTCAAAATGCACGGGGGGTTCCCGGTGATGACCTTAAAGCATTAAAGCCCGCCCTAGCTGAGGAATCTACCCCAAACTATGCCAGCTGAGCCCCAAGCCTTAAAACCTAAACCCTAAACCCCTAAAACCCTAAACCCTAAACCCTAAAAACCCTAAACCCTAAAAACCCTAACCCGTAAACCCTAAACCCAAAATCCCTGAAACCCCTGAAACCCCTAAAGCCCTAAACCCCAGGCGCATGAGGAAGTTCGGGCCCGGCGCAGCGGCCTCGGGTGGTCTTGGGGCTTGCGGGCCTCGTTGGGGCTCAGAGCCTTGGGAAGTTTAGGGTTTAGGGTTTGGTTTTTAGGGTTGGGGGTTTAGGCGGCTTAGCGTTCAGGGCTTATGGTTTAGGGCTTTAGGGGCTTTAGGGCTACAGGCATTCAAGAGCTTTAGGGTTTTTTTCGTGGGTTTGGGGGGTTTGGGGTGGTTTTTTGGTTTGGCACGTCAGGCTTGTTCTGTTGGGGGATTTGGGCTCAGGGTTACGGGGCTTAAGAAATTTGTTGGGTGATTTGGTTCAGGGTTACGGGGCTTAAGGGGTTTAGGGTTTAGGGTTTAGGGGGGTTTAGGCGATGAGGCCTGTGATGTTGCAGTGAGGGGTTTCGGACTTCAGCACCGACTTCGGGCTTGCGAGACTCTGAAACTCACACCCGGAGGCCGAAGTCTGACACCAAACCCCTGTTTAGGGTTTAGGGTTTAGGGTTTGGGGTTTAGGGTTTAGGGTTTAGGGTTTAGGGGTTCTCAAGGAACCGGTCGCCATTGTGAGGGTCGGACCGAGGGCACATTGCTGCACCTCCCCTCTTTCTTTTGAGTTCTTCTGGGGTTTCGGGAGTGCCCCCAACCCTGAACCCAAAGGGTTTAGGGTTTGGGGTTTAGGGTTTAGGGTTTAGGGTTTAGGGTTTGGGGTTTAGGGTTTAGGGTCTAACCCTAAACCCTAGGCCTTAAGACCCGGCCTCTTGCAGCCGCTACGGCTCAAGCTGCGGGATTTCACTGCGCCTTGTGTGGGCGTGGAGCTCCTGCAGGCCCTGGCCCAAACTCTAGCACTTCCGAAGCCGACAGGTTTAGGGTTTGGGGCCCCTAAACTAAGCCCCCCAACCCAAGACCCTGATCCCCAAAACCCTGGTGCCGAACCACACGAACAGCGCTTAGATGGAGGGTTGAGGGTCTAGGTTTTCGGTTTAAGTTCAGGGCGTCCTGAGGATGTCTCGTGCAGGGTGCGCGGGTGGTGGCGCATGGCATGTGGTTCCCCCCCCTCCCCCCCCAGGTTTAGGGTTTAGGGTTTAGGGTCTAGGGTTGAAACTTCGGGTTCGAGGGGTGCAGGGCCTTAGGGCCTCGACCTTCGTTCCAAGTCCCACGAAACCCTGAGCCCAAAACCAGGCGCATCATGGGGGCCTACAAGTACCTGGAGGAGATGTGGCGCAAGAAGCAGTCGGCCACTAGGCGGAAGTTCTTTTGGGGTTGAGAGGCAGGTTTTGGTGGGAGAGGGGGGGGGGGTTAGTGTCCACCCGCTTCCTACCACGAGCCCGGAAGTACACACTAAACCCTAAACCCTAAACCCTAAACCCTAAACCCTAAACCCTAAACCCTAAACCCTAAACCCTAAACCCTAAACCCTAAACCCTAAACCCTGAAAACTGAACCCTGAACCCTGAACCCTGAACCCTGAACCCTGAACCCTGAACCCTGAACCCTGAACCCTGAACCCTGAACCCTGAACCCTGAAACCCTCAACCTCCTGGAAGTCCTAGCCCATGCCTGGTGCCATGCCTCGTGGGGCCAAAGAATGCCCTTGAAGTGAAGCCCATACATCATGTTTCTTCACCCCGAACTCCTAAACCCTAAACCCTAAACCCTAAACCCTAAACCCTAAACCCTAAACCCTAAACCCTAAACCCTAAACCTGAAACCCTAAACCCTGAACCCTAAGCTGCAAAACCCCCCCAACACCCAACAGCCCAGGATGTGATGCGCTTCCTGGCCCGCCTGCGAAACTGGGAGTTCCGCCAGCTGTCAGGGCCTCCGAGCTATTTCTCACTTTTTTGTGTGATTTTTTTTTGTTGGGGGGGGGCGGGGGGGGGGGGGGGGGGGGGGGGGGGGGGGGGGGGGGTGGTAGGCTTTGTTCTTGTTATTTGTTTCTCATTTTTTTTTTTTGTGTGTGTGTGTGTGTGTGTGTGTGTGTGTGTGTTTTTTTTTTGGATCTTTAGTCGGGGGAGGTTTGTAAGAGGGTTCTTAAGGTTCTTCGGGGTTGTAGGGGTTTTAGGGTTTGTTCTTCGGGTTTTTAGGGTTCCTAGGGCTACTTAGTCATTCCAGTGTTTTAGGGTCTTAAGGGGTTTAGGGTGTGGAGGGTTTAAGGCTTAGAGGCTTTGCGATCCAGGGTTTTTAGGGGTAAGGGGTTTAGGGTTTAGGGCTTAGGGCCTAGGGAGGTTGGTTCAAGGATTTCGGGTTTCAGGTGTGATCTGCGCAGCGGTTAAGGGTTAGGGCTTGTGGGTTCAGGAACGGGATGAGGGGTCGTTAGGGTTCGGGTTCAGGGTGCCGAAGCAACCCTAGACACTAAGCCTTGCTCTGCATACAAGGTGCCCATAGAGGGGACCGTACTTCTGAACAAACCCAGGCTTTATGATTTAAGGCGGTCCAACGCCCAAGTCCCCCAATGTCCTCGTCCTAGACCCCTCAATCCCTCAACCCCCGAATCCCTAAACCCTAAACCCTAAACCCTAAACCCTAAACCCTAAACCCTAAACCCCAATCCCCAATCCGCACATCACAACCCCAAGCTTGAGACCCTTAGCCCCAGACCTTTGAGCCCCCCAAAACTTTTTCCCCCAAACCTAACCCCTCAGCCCTAAGCCCAACCGAAACCCTAAACCCTAAACCCTAAACCCTAAACCCTAAACCCTAAACCCTAAACCCTAAACCCTAAACCCTAAACCCTAAACCCTAAACCCTAACCTAAACCCTAAACCCTAAACCCTAAACCCTAAACCCTAAACCCTAAACCCTAAACCCTAAACCCTAAACCCTAAACCCTAAACCCTAAACCCTAAACCCTAAACCCTAAACCCTAAACCCTAAACCCTAAACCTAGCAAGGCCCGCGGTGCATCGCTGCACCCGGCCCACGCGCCCCGACAAGGCGAGGAAAGTGGGCTACAAGGCGGGGCTTGGTGCTTAAGGGTTGAGGGTTAGGGTTTAGGGTTTAGGGTTTAGGGTTTAGGGTCGAGGGTTTAGGGTTTAGGGTTTAGGGTTTAGGGTTTAGGGTTTAGGGTTTAGGGCTTAGGCCTTGGTGCTTGAGGGTTCAACATCTTGGGTTGTTTTAAGACAAGGGTTGTTTCGCAGTTAGTTTAGGACAAGTTGTTTTGAAAACAGCGCGAGACATCTTAAGGCTTAGGGTTTACAGCTTGGGTGCTCTACATCTTCTTTAACTTGCCCAGAGGCGAAGCAGGGCTACTGCATCTACCGCGTCCGCGTGAAGCGCGGTGACCGCAAGAAGAGAGTGGCCTGGAGCTCGGCCCTGGGGTGCAGGGTTTAGTTGTGCTGTTCTCCACAAGAATTCTATAGGTTGATAGAGAAGTATGATTCATGGAACATTTAGCAGGGGCCAAAGCCCTGAACCCAAAAACTTTTGAACCCTAAAGCCTAAAACCCTAAACGCTAACCTCTCAACCCCAAATCCAAAACCCTAAACCCAAAACCCGACCCGGACCCCGAATTACAATCTCGATCAAGCGCAAGGCCAAGGGCATCGTGTACGGCAAGCCCGTCAACCAGGGTATTAACAAGTGGAAGGCCGGATCCTGTCTGCAGCGTCTGTTCAGAGTTTCAGGGTTTCAGGGTTTCAGAGTTTCAGAGGGTTCAAGAGCTTCTTTGATTCAGATCGGCTTGGGAAGATCCTTTTGCAAGAGCGTTGGCTTTTCATAGAGATTTCTGGACCTTCGGGGCAATTTCGCATGGCCTGGCTAAATCTTGGTAAGCCCTGCACCCAGACCCGTGATCTACATTAAGGTATTCCCGAAAATAGGGGTACCTCCTATATACCTCAAAATACTATATAATCCTTCCAAAGGAACACCCAAAACGGGTACCCTATGTTCGGAAACCCCCACATAGTGGCTTGCAGGGGCGTATAGGTGTCCTTGCAGGGGCTTCACCCACTGCCCCTGCCTTGGAGTTTCATCCCCCCGTTGGTCCCGTCAGGCTTCAAGGGTTTTTTCGGGTCTGGGGTTTAGGGCGCCGTAACCCTAAACCTTGAACCCTCAACCCTAAACCCTAAACCCTAAACCCTAAACCCTAAACCCTAAACTCGAAACCCTAAACCCCGAACCCCAAAGACCTGCAGCGAGGCCGTGCGGAACCTCCGCAACATCGCCGAGGAGCGAGTCGGCCGAAAGTGTGGAGGCACCGAAATCGGCCGAGTGGGCTTGGGGTGTAAAATCCTGCAGTTTCCAGAAAGCCCCCTTCGGGTTTACGGTTTAGGGTTTAGGGTTCAGGGTTTAGGGGGTTAAGGGTTTAGGGTTTAGGGCTTAGGCCCTCTTGCTGTTTTTATAAGAGCTTGTTTGTATAAAGCCCAGGGAGCACGGAACATATGGCTGTCATTAAGGTTCTAATGGGGGTATAGTTTTAGGGTTCATGGCTTTCACTTTGGGTTATCCAGGGCCTTGGGATCTGGGGGGGGGTTGGTGCGACTGACAGTAGTGATGCTGTGCCTTATTTGAAGAGGCCTTTCACTCAGTGAGCTTTCGACAGTGAAGTTTCAACCTTATGGCGGCCAGTCGTCACAAACCAGGGGCTATGGCTCAAATAAAACGAGCAAGAAAGTAGAGAACAACCAAAAAGAAAGGAGACCACTCAAATTCCAAAACGAGAAAGAAAGAAGAACACCAAATACTTGCCAGAGATACAATCGCCCCCAAACCCCCAACCCCCCAACCCCGCTAACCCCCCAACCCCCCCACCCCCCCCCCCCACCCAACCCCCCACCCCCCCGCCCCCACCAGCCCCCCCCCACCCCCCCCCCCCAACGCCCCTGCCGCCCCTAACACCCCCCAACCCCCCCCCCCCCCCCCCCCCCACCTTATCAGATCCCCCCCCCCCCCCACCTTATCAGACCACCCTAACCACTAGAAAAAAGGAGAAGAAAGCCAGAAAAAAGAAACGAACACAACGACAACCTGGCTGCACAAAAAGAGTCGGGTTGAGGATTGACTCTACCCGTGGAAGGTCCGTGAGTCCCTGCCGGCTCCTATGCATGAACCACGTACACCCAAGCGTTTAGGGTTTAGGGTTTAGGGTTTAGGGTTTAGGGTTTAGGGTTTAGGGTTTAGGCTTTAGGGTTCGAACACGCAAAGAGCCCTAAAGCCAGGGGCCCTCGGAGTCCTCTGGCCTCCTTCGTAGAGAAGAAGATGTCTGAAATCTCAGTTGGCCGATTAAAGGGCGCGCGCCCCATATGAAATCCTCTTTTTTGGGGGCCAGCTTCTTGAATGTTCTGGTGATTTCTTGCTTTCTCCCTGTTTGCTCCTACGCTTCGTCCAGCTTGTTTTTGTTGCCTTTTCAGTGGCTTGGGTTTTGTTGTTCGTTTTCTGCGTCCACCTGGTTTTACATGATTCTTTTGGTTTATCTCTCTCTGTTTTTTTTTGATTTGCCTGCTTTCGGGGGCCGCGCGGTGTAGCGGTCGTCTTAATTGTAACCCCAAGCCCAGATGGCGGCTAGATTCAACTGACCGTCGGGAGCTCTTCTCCAAATTCGGTAGTCCGTCGAACCCTCAAGGTTTAGGGTTTCGGGTTTAAGGGTTTAGGGTTTAGGGATGTTTAGGGTTTCGGGTTTAGGGTTAGGGTTTAGGGATGTTTTGGGTGTCGGGCCTGTGAAATCCGAAATGGGCTCGAGACTCATTTTCGGGCGTGCTGAAGGGCCCTGCCCTGCCCATTTTTGAGTGATTGACGCAGGGAATTGTTAGAGAGAGATCTAGTCCTTCACACCCACCCTAAGGCCGAAACCCTTAGCCCCCATGCCCCTAAGCCCTAAACCCCCCAAGCCCCCAAGCCCCTCCACCCTGAACCCTGACCCAGGGCTCCGGGTGCTGAACTCCTATTGGGTGGCCCAGGCCGGGCTGCGAAGGAATGCCACGTCCTGAAACACCAGCCCCATGAATGAGAAGAAGGTACCTGAAGGTACCTAGTAGAAGGAGCCGGAGACCCTAAATCCTAAGCCCTAAACCCTAAACCCTAAACCCCTAAACCCCTAAAGCCCTAAACCCTAAACCCCCATAGCCGAAAAGGCCGTGCCCTTGTGGACCATCTAGCACGGGCAGGTTGCGTGCTGCGAGCGCTTGCGTTCCAGGATGGACGGTACCCGGGGCCCTGAGGCCCTAAGCTCCCTCGAGCCCCTTCTTGGGGATCCTTGCCAAAAGGGTGCCGTAGTATATAGGGGGACCCAAAAAGGGGGCCTTAACTTAAAGAGCTACCCATGTACCCGAAGCCCTAAACAAGCACGCCAGTGGCCTCGGCTGCTCTTACAACTGGGCGACCTGACCATCCCCAATCGCACGACCGAACCTTCCCAAGAAGAACCGCGAGCCTAAGAATCCGCTCTAGTGGTGGACCCTAAGCCCTGGAGCCTTCGATTTCAGGATGCCGTGCACAAGTGGTTTGAGGTTGTCATGGTGGATCCCTACCACAAGCCCTGGCCTCAACTTGCCAGTCCAATCTTGGGGGGTTGTTTTTGTCGCTACAAGCACCAATCACCCCAAACTTACACCCCCCTAGCTTTAAGCCCTGTAGTCCACCAATTACCTGGACAAATGTAGGCCATTTGCACTTTCTGGTTGAGGGTGAAGCTGTTCCTAACCCATACATCCCGACCCTGCAGTTTTCGGAGGCCATCTTGAGTCTTGGGTGTTTGGGGGGGTTGAGGGATGGCTTGATTGCTTCGTGCAGAGCGCAGCCATACGAAGCAGGGTTCATAGTATTGCTAGTGGTGAGTGTACATAGGGTTCTTTAGAAATATTGGGAGGTGTGTGTAGTGGGTGTCCTTCTGGGGGATGCTAATGGTATAAACCCCACCTCGTATACTCCTACTCCTTGCAAAGCCCAGCTAGAAGGTCCTGAACCCTAGGCCCTGCACCCTGAACCGTACAACCCAAATTGTGAGGCCAATCCCTTCAGGGGGTTTGAGGTTTCGGGTTTTGTGTGAAAACGGAACAACCACCGATGCCGGGAACGAAGCCCTTCCAAGGACCGTCCGCGACGATCCGCGCATCAACTGGACCGAACGGTTGAGGGTCTTGGGGCTGGGTGCAGGGCTTAGGGGCTTAGTTTAGGGTTTAGGGTTAGGGCTCAGGGTTTAGGAGGGTGGTAGCAAGGGCCCTTTGAAGGATCTGCAAGCCCGTGATGAAGCACCGCGAGCTACGCGGGCTGACGGCGGCCGGCAAGAAGGCCTCGCTAGGCATGAGGATGTACAGGGTTTAGCGTTTAGGGCTTAGGGGTTAGGGTTTAGGGTTTGGAGATATTGACCTTCTCTCTCAATGAAGATGTACAATGTTCACTTCGCTTTCATAACCCCCCGTTGATTGATTCAATCTCTCCGGTAGGGGGCCGGAATTGCAATTGCAGAGAGTTTGGGTCTTTAAACCCTAAACCCTAAACCCTAAACCCTAAACCCTAAACCCTTAACCCTAAACCCTAAACCCTAAACCCTGAACCCTAAACCCTTTTGCGAGACGGCCGGCCTCTTCTGGACCTCTCCTGGGCCTCTTCTACGCCTCTTGCGGACCACTCCCTGGGCCTCTTCTGGGGCTTTTCTTCGGGCCTCTTCTGGGCCTCGTCTGGGCCTCTTCCTCTTTCGGAATCTCTCTTCTGAAGCATATAAGTCCATGTGGACAGATCTCTTGATCCAAGATTTGTTTTTCTGTTTTCTTATTCTGTTAATTGCCGGTGGGGGGGATTCTTAAAGCCAAGGCAACATTAGGGTTTATGGTTAGGGGATTAGGCTTGCTTCGGGTGTTGTCGGGGTGTCGCGTTTCTACATGTTTGGGCTCTCAGCGCTTTTGGAACTAATTAAACCCTGACTCTCCTTCCTTAGCCATAGCATAGCTGAACTTTAAGCTTGCTGTGGGTTTCCTTACTTAGTAGAAATTATAAAGTTTACCTTGGGATGCTCCCCCTTATACTAGCAGTCCTTAATGGGGATTGTAGTACCCCCCCCCCCCCCCCCTTTCTTAGTTTTAGGGGCGACCATCCCAAAGTTGACCATTTTTGTATTCCTTGGTAGTTAGAGACGGTAAGTCCCAGCGCTGACAGGGAAGAAGCGCAGATTTTTTATGCGGGGTCGGAGCATGATAACATGATTTCTTACTACGGTCCCTTGCCTTGGTCCCCTGGTTCTTAGTAGGGAATGAGAGGACTATATATATATATATGTATATACATATATATATATATACATACCCCTTAAGGGATTGTATAGGGTACCTCATTCCCTCATTCCCTCATTCCCTACGAAGAACCAGCTGTTTGACAGTTGGGCCTTTGGAGTTCCAATGATGTCTATGGCCCATGCGACGGGCCCTCGTAACTACGCAAGAAGTCGCTGGATACCTGTTTGGAAGAAGAGGCGCGAAACCCTTCAATCCTCATATTAAACCCTAAACCCTAAGCCATTGGCCCAAGCCCTACGCCAAGAAAGCAGAAGCCCTCTGCTCTGAGCCCTAAGCCCTAAGCCCTCTGCTCTGAGCCCTAAGCCCTAAGCCCTAAGCCCTAAGCCCTAAGCCCTAAGCCCTAAGCCCTAAGCCCTAAACCCTAAACCCTCAACCCTAGGAAACTTTGAGGCCCGTGGCCTTCTCAAGAAGGGCAAGAGGGCCACCAAGCTTCGGCCATCGTACCGTGCCGCCTACCGCGTCATGGCTGGGTTGTCATCTGGGGTTTAGGGTTTAGGGTTTAGGGTTTGAGTGGTTAGGGTTTAGGGCTTAGGGTTCAGGGTTTGTGTGTATGGGGGTTTAGGGGTTCAGGTTTCGGGGTTTGCTGGTTCAAGGTTTGCAGCGTGCCTTTCTTTGTGGCCTCTATGATAGAATAGTCCTCGAGCCCTTAAACCTTAAACCCCTAAATCCTAAACCCCCTTTTCGGGAGGCTCAGGATCAGGCCAGGGTCTGGCACTTCCATAAGCCCAGACCTTGCTCGCGGACTGAATCTGACTTAGGCTTCTTGGGCTTTTGGGGGGCAAAGCTTCTGAGGTTTTTGACCTCAAGCTTTAAGACTTTGGGGCCTTGGCTTCGGGTTTTAGCCAACCCTAAACCCTAAACCCTAAACCCTAAACCCTAAACCCTAAACCCTAAACCCTAAACCCGAAACCCTAAACCCTAGGCCCTAGGCTCGTTAGTATAAGGAGACACATTGATGGCTGCTAGAGCCGCCCCACGTAGAAAATGAGGGTGTCAGCATACCAGACGGAGAGCAAGCAACCTCCCAGGGTTCGGGTTTAGGGTTTAGGGTTTAGGGTTTAGGGTTTAGGGTTTAGGGTTTAGGGTTTGGGTTTAGGGTTTAGGGTTTAGGGTTTAGGGTTTAGGGTTTAGGGTTTAGGGTTCAGGGTTCAGGGTTCAGGGTTCAGGGTTTGGGTGGTTAGTTGTGTTGGTCCCAGAATTTCGGGCATCAAATCGCTTCCTCTTCGCATCTTTGCCAGTCTGAAAGCCTTGATGGCCCCTAACAGTTTAGGAATCAGAGTTGAAGCTTTGGGGACCCCCCGAAGCCCACCCGCAAATGCTCAAACCATCAAAAAACCCTCCTCCCCCAAAACCAATTCCCGAAAGAAGAGCCGAAGACCCCCGATGCAACCCCCATATCCCATCTCTGACACCCTTCAAGAGATCCCTACCAGTAGGAACTTGCATGGCAAATTGTCGACAAGCAACCTGTGCGACAACTCCAAAGCCCTAAGCCCTAACCCCCGCCCAAGCCCCAAGTTCGCCCCAAGGTCGCCACAGCCTCCTGCGGCTCCGCCGCTATCGCTGAGAAGCCTGCCCCGCCCGAGCAAGACAAAAGGAGAGCGAGCCAGGGCTCAGGGTTCAGGGTTCAGGGTTCAGGGTTTAGGGTTTAAGGTTTAGGGTTTAGGGTTTAGGGTTCAATGTTCGGGATTGTCCAGAGATGCTCAATAACCCTTCATGCAGGAGTTGACCTTTATGTACATTCGTATTGCCAGAACAACTTGGGGTCTATTCTTTACTCGAAAAGATGTTATGCTCGGTTGGGCGGCGGTGGGAAGAATGAGAACTCCCCTAACCCAAGTCGAAATCATCTAAGCAGTCCATCGCCCCCACCTGAGCCAGGGGTTTGAGGAGGGTTGTGGGGGTTTGCAGGGGGGCTTTCAGGCGCTTTAGAGGGCTATCGGGAGCTGTAAGGTTTTACCGGGGGTTTGGGGGCTTATGGTGTTTTCGGGGCTTTTGGGTTTTGGACATCAAGACGGAGCTCTTGGGGGTTTTGGCGCAGAGTTATGGGGCGTTAGGGGTTTATCGGGGGTTGGGGGTTTGATGCCTGTGATGTTGCAGTTGAGGCTTGAGGACTTGAGCGACTACGCGCTTCCGAGACTCTGAAAGCCTTCACCCCAAGCCCGAAGCCTGACACCAAAACCTCGGAAAGGCCACGTTCTCAAGGAATGGGTTGCCATCGGGAGGTTGGGACTGAGGGGGGGGGCCCTTGGGCAGCTCCCCTCTCTGTCTTTTAAGGTTTTGGGTGCCTCCTGCAGCCGCTACGGCTCAAGCTGCGGGATTTGACTGCGACTTGTGTGGGCTTGGAGCTCCTGCAGGCCCTGGCCCAAACTCTCGTGCCTCCTACACCGACAGGTTTTGGGTTTGGGGTTTGGGGTTTGAGGACCACCCAAGACCCCCCAACACCCTTGTGCCGAACCAAGTAAAAGAACAGGGTTTAGGTCGAGGGTTGAGGGTCAGGGTCTTCGGTTTGAGGTTTCGGCGTTCACCCCGTCCCCCCCCCCCCCCCCCCCCCCCCCCCCACTTTTGCGCGCGGAGAGCTCGCACAGGGGGAAAGTGGCCGTGCATCGGCGCAATGAGTGTCGATTTGGGCCAACCGTCCTTGGAAGTAAAAAGAAAAGCGGGTTGAGGGTGCAGGGCCTCAGGCCTCGACCTTCGTTCCCAGTCCCACAAAACTCTGAGCCAAAACCAGGCGCATCATGGGGGCCTACAAGTACCTGGAAGAGATGTGGCGCAAGAAGCAGTCGGCCGCCAGACGGAAGTTCTTTTGGGGGTCTAGCGGCGGTGGGTGGCGGGCCTCCCGCTTCCTACCACGAGCCTGGAAGTACGCGCTAAACCCTAAACCTCTAGTTTCCTCATTGCTTTCATGCGTCATGGGATCTTTACCACCATCCCATGTCTAACGGCAGTCAAATGAGGAGCATACCATATTTTTTCATATCATGATGGTTTGGGGGGGAGGGGGTGGGGGGGGGGGGGGGGCAGAAAAACCCCAAATTTACGACTTTCCACCCTGGCATGCTCACCCAAGTCCCATCATGGTCCGAGAAGTCGCACTGTGTGGGTTGCGGGTTCCTCCACGGAAAAGTTGCCGGGGGACCCCCCACCCCCACCCCCGCGTTTTTCACCTCCGCAAACCCATCCACGCCGCCAGTGTTTTCAGTTTCCTGAATCGCACGTTTTCAGTTTGCCTGAATCGGCTAGTTTCCTGAATCGCGTAGTTTCCTGAATCCTGGTTTCCTGAACCGCAAAATTTCCTGAATCCTGGCTTCCTGAATCGCGGGGCTGGTTTCCTGAATCCTGGTTTCCGAAATCGCGTCCAGTTTCTGAATCGCGCTAGGATTTGCTCCTTCGTCGGTACAAGCAGAGGCAGCACCCCAACAGAGAATGCCTCTGCTTGTAAGAGAGCGTAAGAAGGATGTTGAATCGAACGGAACAAAGCTGCTCTTATTTGAGCCGCAATCTTAGAGTGCCTCCGGTTTCTCTAGCCACCGTAGAAAACCACGTGTGGTTGTTCTGCAGCGTAAGAATAACCACCTAAACCAATAAAACTACATCAGAGCAGCTGCCCAAACAAAACATGCGTCAGTCGGCGGACCCCAACCCCTAAACCCTGAACCCGAAACCCCAAACCCCTAAACCCTGAACCCTAAACAGCAAGCCCCCCAACCCTGAACCCTGAACCCTGAACCCTGAACCCTGAACCCTGAACCCTGAACCCTGAACCCTAAAATTAAACCCCCCCCCCAACACCCAACAGCCCAGGATGTGATGCGCTTCCTGGCCCGCCTGCGAAACTGGGAGTTCCGCCAGCTGTCAGGGGCTCCGAGCTTTTGTTGGGAGGGAGGTTTGTAGGGTTTTGGATTTTTGGAGGGGTCCTTAGGATTTTCTGGGTTTTTGGGGCTTGTAATCGTGTTTGTTAGTTGAGGGTTTTGTGTTTGTTCTTAGGTTTTTTTTTTGGGGTTCTTCGGGTTTGAGGGGTTTTAGGGCTTCTAGGACTTTTAGGGTTGGAGGAGTTTTGGGCAATTTCGTTTGCTATCGTGTTTCTCGCGGGTTAGAGGCTTTCGGGTTTAGGGTGTTGAGGGGAAAGCGGCGAGGGGATCAGGGCTCAGGGCTTGGGGAGGTTTAGGGCTTCTTGGGTTTAAGGATTGAGGGTTTCAGGAGTTTTGGGGGGTTCATGCAGGCTCAGGGTTCTGCGGGGTGCAGGGATTTCAGGTCCACCAACGAACCAATGGGATGAAATAACATGGAGGGTTTTGGGTTTAGGTGCCTAGACCCTAAACCTGGGGATGTTCCCCCTTATACCAGCAGTCCTGAATAGGGATTATGACAAACCCGATTCTAATCCCTACTTGACTGTTAATATAAGGGACCTTAACCACAAACATCGCAAGTCTTCGCAAGCCTGGCTGTGTCTACAAGGTACCTACCCTAAACCCTAAACCCTGAACCCTAAACCCTAAACCCTAAACCCTAAACCCTACACCCTACACCCGAAACCCTGTAAGGGTCCCTTTGAACCATCAAAGGCTTCATGTTTGGGGCGCACAAGCCCTAAAAACCCCCGAAGCCCAAGCTGCAAAAGGTGGTTTAGGGTTTAGGGTTTAGGGTTTAGGGTTTAGGGTTTAGGGGTTTAGGGGTTTAGGGGTTTAGGGGTTTAGGGGTTTAGGGGTTTAGGGTTTTTTTAGGACACCCTAAAGCCCCAGACCTTCCACCCCCCCCAAGACTTAAGCCCTAAGCCCGACCTTGCGACCCCTGAACCCAGCGAGGCCCGCGGTGCATCGCTGCACCCGGCCTACACGCCCCGACAAGGCAAGGAAAGTCGGCTACAAGGCGGGGGTTTGTGCTTAAGGGTGGAAGATTCTGAGGTTGAAGGGTTTAAGGGTTTAAGGGTTTAAGGGTTTAAGGGATTAAGGGTTTAAGGGTTTAAGGGTTTAAGGGTTTAAGGGTTTAAGGGTTTAAGGGTTTAAGGGTTTAAGGGTTTAAGGGTGGAAGATTCTAAGGTTTAGGGTTACGAGTTGGGCACTCTCCTCCGACTTGCAGGCGAAGCAGGGCTACTGCATCTACCGCGTCCGCGTCAAGCGCGGTGACCGCAAGAAGAGAGTGGCCAGGAGCTCGGCCCTGGGGTGCTGGGTTTAGGGTTTAGGGTTTAGGGTTTAGGGTTTAGGGCTTAGGGTTTGGGGTTTAGGGTTTAGGGTTCAGGGTTAGTTGTGTTGTGCTGTCCACGAGAAGTATGATTCATGCGCACATTGGCATATTCGGTACTACTGAATGAAGGAGGGGCCAAAAGCCCCCAAGCCCTAAAACATGCCCGAAATCCTAAACCCTAAACCCTAAACCCTAAACCCTAAACCCTAAACTCTCAACCCCAAAACCAAAACCCTAAGCCCTGAACCCGACCCCGACCCCGAGTCGTCATCTCGATCAAACGCAAGGCCAAGGGCATCGTGTACGGCAAGCCCGTCAATCAGGGTATCAACAAGTGGAAGGCCGGATCCTGTGTGCAGGGTCTGTTTCAGGGCTTCAGGGTTTCAGGGTTTCAGGGTTTCAGGGTTTCAGTGTTTCAGGGTCTCAGGGTTTCAGGGTTTCAGGGTTTAGGGTTCAGGGCTCGGGGCTCAGTGTTCAAGACGGTTTCGGCTGGCCTTTTGCTTCTCACCGGGAACTCTGGACCTTCAGCAATTGGCGCAAGCCCTACACCTAGACCTGTGATCCATCAGTGTCTATGTAGGTGTCCTTGCAGGGGCCTTCGCCAAAATCTGCCGAAAAGTTACACCCGCTGCCCGCAGCTTTCTAAGAGTTTCATCCTCCCTTTTTGGTCCCATTAGGCTTCAGGGGGGTGTCGGGTTTGGGGGTTAGGGCTGAGTGCCGTAACCCTAAACCCTAAACCCTAAACCCTAGGCCCTAAACCCGAAACCCTGAACCCGAAGACCTGCAGCGAGGCCGTGAGGAACCTCCGCAACATCGCCGAGGAGCGGGTCGGCCGAAAGTGTGGAGGCACCGAAATCGGCTGCCCAGGGCTTGGGCTGTAAAGTTCTGCAGTTTCGATAAAGCCCCCTTAGGGTTTAGGGTTTAGGGTTCAGGGTTTAGGGTTTATAGGTTTGTGTTTTAAATACGATGTTCTGAGGAAAAGCCCTAGGAGACATGGAGTTACGCGGCTTCATTAAGGAACTACAGGGAGTATGGTTTTAGGGTTTCGGGTTTTTCCACTGCCAAATTCTGGATCTGCGATTTTAGAATTGAGGGGGTTCGCAAGACTGATATTACATGTGTAGAGAGGCCTTTCAATTGGTGATTCTTGCGGTTGAGGTTTTCGGTTTCGGGTTTCAGATTAAGGTTTCGGGCTTAGGGTTTAGGGTTTAGGGTGTAGGGTTTAGGGCTTAGGGTTTAGGATTAGTGCGAACGAATGCTTTATCATCAGCCTGGGTTGGCTGGCGACGGTTTAGGGTGAGGACGCCAGCTTCGCAGTGAACGTTTCACCCTAAGCCCATGCGCTTTAGGGTTTAGGGTTTAGGGCTTAGGGTTTGGCATGTAGGATGCGGTTACATTCAACCGACCGCCGTGCGCTTTTCTCCAACTTACCGAAGTGCGGCAAACCCTGAAGGTTGAGGGTTTAGGATGTAGGCTTCAGGGTTTAGGGTCAACGCCAAACCTTAAATCCGAAATGCCCTAGCCTCAACGACTCTAACGAGTTGTCGGGCCTGCTGAAGGGCGGCCCTTGCCCCTCATGATTGGTGCTTAAGAGCGAGGGGTGGTGAGGGAACGTCGGTACATTGGGCTTTGGGGGCTGAGCAGGGGATCGCCAGAGGGACCCTAAACCCCCTTGACCCCGAAAGCCTAAACCCCAAACCCCCCAAGCCCGCAACCCTAAACACTCCGAAACCCCTAAGCCCTAAACCCTAAACCCTAAACCCTAAACCCTAAACCCTAAACCCTAAACCCTAAACCCTAAACCCTAAACCCTCAACCCTAACCCTGAACCCTGAACCCTGAACCCTGAACCCTGGCCCAGGGCTCCGAGTGCTGAACTCCTATTGGGTGGCCCAGGCCGGCCTGCCCTATGGATGCTGCGAGCAGTTGCATTCTAGGATGCTACGTGGGTAGTTCTCTAAATTACGGCCCCTTCTTGGGGATTCCTTGCCAAAAGGGTGCCGGATTATAAGACCCGAATCTAAAGAACTACCCATGTAAAGCCCTAAACAAGCACACCAGTGGCTCGGGCTGCACTTAAGCTGGGCGACCACGACTGACAAACCTCGATCGCACAACTACTCCCCCCTGAAACCTTCCCAAAAAACCGAACCACGAGCATAAGAATCCACTCTGATGGTGGACCCTGAGCCCTGGAGCCTTCGATTTCAGGATGCCGTGCACAAGTGGTTTGAAGTTGTCATGGTGGATCCCTACCACAAGCCCTAGCCTCAACTTGCCAGTCCAATCTTGCGGGGTTGTTTTTGTCGCAGGATTTTGGGACTTTCTGGGTGCACCCCAAACTCACCAATTACCCCAAAGCCATGCGATAACAGGGAGGCCCTCCAAGACCCTCCCAAGACCCTCCCTCGGCCCCACTTTCCCACGGCCACCTAGTCCCCCCAGGCCCTAGACCTTGCACTTGTTTAGGGTTTGGGCCTGAATCTTGGGATGTTCCTCTCATACCAACAGTCCTTCACAGGGATTCTCTTAGCCACAAATTCTAATCCCTATTGAAGAGCTGTTAGTATAAGGGGGAACATCCCAACCCAAATCCCAAACCTAAACCCTAAACCCTGAACCCTAAACCCTAAATCCTAAACCCTAAACCCTAAACCCCAAACCCTAAACCCTAAACCCTAAACCCTAAACCCTAAACCCTAAACCCTAAACCCTAAACTGCAGTCTTGGGGGCCAGCTGAAGTGTTTGGGAGTGGAGGCCTGTGGTCGGCTGAATGGTCCGAAGCGTAGCCACATGGTCAGTTCTCTAAGTCGCGGTCCGTTTCTTAAGTACCCCTAAAAAAGAGGGGTTTAGGGTTTAGGGTTTAGGGTTTAGGGTTTAGGGTTTAGGGTTTAGGGTTTAGGGCGTCTTATGATAAGGAACCCAGGAGAAGTATAACTCATGGGCATATTTGGATCTCTTCTGTTCCTCTAGAGCACATCTCCCGTATAATGACGAGCGCACAGGGGCTTGCTCTTTGCTCTCCCAGCCTAAACCTAACCGTAAACCCTGAAATCTAACACCCAAATTGTGAAGCCATTGCCTTCTTGAAACGAACCGAGACAAGTTGCATTTGCCCTTTCAGGGGCTTAGGGGGGTTTAGGGGTTTTGGATCTTAGGTGTTAGGATGCAGAGTTTAGGTGCCCAACGCCCCCAACAGCCCAACAACCACCGATGCCGGGAACGAAGCCCTTCCAAGGACCGTCCGCGACGATCCGCGCATCAACTGGACCGAACGGTTGAGGGTCTTGGGGCTGGGTGCAGGGCTTAGGGGCTGATTGTTTAGGGTTCAGGGTTCAGGGTTCATGCTTTAGGGTTTAGGGTTAGGGCTCAGGGTTTAGGAGGGTGGTAGCAAGGGCCCTTTGAAGGATCTGCAAGCCCGTGATGAAGCACCGCGAGCTACGCGGGCTGACGGCGGCTGGCAAGAAGGCCTCGCTAGGCATGAAGATGTACAGGTTTAGGGTTTAGGGTTTGGAGATTTTGGAAGATATTTTCTTCAGTTCCCCTTGAATCGTAGGCCCGAAACCTTGATTCCCGAATGCTTCACCGCATAAGCCCTACGCCCCAAGCCCCAAGCCCTCAGCCCTCAGCCCTAAGCCCTAAGCCCTAAGCCCTAAACCCTAAGCCCTAAGCCCGAAGCCCGAAACCCTAAAACCTAGCAACAGAAAGACGTTGAGGCCCGTGGCCTTCTCAAGAAGGGCAAGAGGGCCACCAAGCTCCGGCCATCGTACCGTGCCGCCTACCGCGTCATGGCTGGGTTGTCATCTGGGGTTTAGGGTTTAGGGTTTTTGGGTTTAGGATTTTGGGTTTAGGGTTTTTGGGTTTAGGGTGTAGGGTTTGGGTGGTTAGCTGTGTTTGTGCCGGGGGTTCGGACATAAATCGCTTCCTCTTTGCATCCTTGCAATTCTGAAAGACGCGATGGCCCGGAAACAGTTTAGGGTTTAGGCTTGAAGGACTAGGGACCCCCGAAGCCCTCACTCGCAAATCCTCACCCTCAAAAACAAGCCCTACTCCCCCAAAACCACATTCCTTTCAGGAAGACCCCATGCAACCCCCATGTCCCCCCCTCTAACGCCCTTCAAGAGATCCCCAACTGCACCGTAAATTCTCGACGAGCAACCTGTGCGAAAGCTCTAAGGCCCTAAGCCCTAAACCCTGCCAAAGCCCCAAGTTCGCCCCCAAGGTCGCCACAGCCTCCTGCGACTCCGCCGCTATCGCTGAGATCCGCCAAGCCTGCCCCGCCCAAGCAAGACAAAAGGAGAGCGAGCCAGGTCTCAGGGATTGGGGTTTAGGGTTTAGCGTTTAGGGTTTAGGGTTTAGGGTTCAGGGTTTAGGGTTTAGTTTTCGGGATTGCCCAGAGATGCTCAATAACCTTTCATGCAGGAGTGTACCTTAATTTAAAGTCGTAACCCCAGGACAACCTGGGTCAATTCTTGCATCTAGGGGTATCGGGCTGGGTTGGGCGACAGTGAGGCTTCCGCCAACTGCATAAGCAGAAATGAAATTCCCTCAACCCCCCCGACCCCCCCCGTCCCCCCCTCACCCCAAAAAACAAAGCGAAAGAAAAATCAACCACACCGTAAACCCGAAACTAGAAGGGAACCTTGGGGGAAGCAGTGCAGTGGGCCGTATCCCATGAGCGGCAGGTTCTGAGGACGAAGTTATATTAAATAGGGTTTGGGGTTCTCAGAGGCTCCAATACCCCTTAATTAAGGAACATTCTTTAAACCATACAAGGAACCCTCTTATACGTTAAGGAATATTCCTTAGTTAAGGGGTATTGGAGTCTCTGGGTTCGTCTTTTTGGGATCTGGGTGTAGGGCCGCAAGCCTTAAGCGATGCTTGCAGCTTTCCGCCGGAAGCCGGGAAGGTCACACACTTGAAGCCCTGAGCGATTGAAGGGGGTTTAGAGTTTAGGGTTTAGGGTTTAGGGTTGAGGGTTGAGGGTTTAGGGTTCACATTTCCCAAAGCTCAAGAACCCTAAGCCCTAAGCTCCAATCACCAGCGGCCTCCGGTTTCTCTGCCAAGGCAGAGCAGGACTTCATTGTTGCCCTCCGGTCGAACAGCAATTACCTGCATGCCGGGGACCTCAAGAGCTCGGGGTTTGCTGTCGGGGGGCTAGGGTTTAGGGATTTAGGGTTTAGAGTTTAGGGTTTAGGGTTTCAGGTTTAGGGCTACTCAACTGTCATGTGCTTTTCTCCGGCTTCTAGTAAGTCAAATTCAGAGCGTCTGGGCGAGCAAGCGTGGAAGAACTGGGGTGGTGCGCGCTGTTCAAGCCTGTGCTCCAACACTGTGGGCCTGCAGTTTCGGCAGTTTGGGGGTTTAGAGGGTGGTTTGTCAACGTTTTGGGTTTACAGTATTCTGAAGATTGCTGTTTGGAGGGGTGTCCGGGGCTGGCTTGTAAATGTAACCCAGAGAGCCCCAGGACCCCTGAATTTAGGACCATTTTGGCGACGGGCTTTTCCTTATTTACGGGGGTCTTTAGCCCTAAACCTCGTTGCCTGGGCCCTGCGCCCCGCAGGCCTGGATGGGTTGTAGGTGATGAGGTTTCTGGTCTAGGGCTTGGGGTTCGGTCCCCTAAACACAAAGCCTAAAGGTTTTGAAACCTCCAGACTCCTGAATCTTCACCCTTAATACCTCAAAGCCCTTTGGCTCCTAACCCTAAACCCTAAACCCTAAACCCTAAACCCTAAACCCTAAACCCTAAACCCTAAACCCTAAACCCTAAACCCTAAACCCTAAACCCTAAACCCTAAACCCTAAACCCTAAACCCTTAATCCCTCAAAAACATTCTCCCTCCTGCCAAGACCATCAGCCCCAAGCCGCAGAACTGTGACAGAAGCCCCCACCCCCCCCAGGCACCAAATGGCGACTTTGTGCGGCTTGTGTCGCCTCTCTCTGTCGGGCGCTCGGGTTTAGGGTTTAGGGTTTAGGGTTTAGGGTTAGGGTGCAGTTCAGGGTTTTTCGGATACACCCCAAAAGGGACCATAATTGAACTGACCAGTATCGGGTACCACCCCATTCCCTTTGTCCCTTTAGGCCATCACAAAAAAAAGGGAGGCAGTCAACCCGAGGTGACCTGCAGAACCCTAAGCCCGAAACCGTAAACCGTAAACCCTAAACCCTAAACCCTAAACCCTAAACCCGAAACCCGAAACCCCAAACCCTCCGAGCTCAGGGACCCCCGAAGCCCTCTGAGGGAAAGTTCGCCTTTGTGGACTGGCCCCTCAGATAGTTACCGGAATGCTAATGGAGGAGCAACAAACCCCACGAAACCCGAAACCCTAAACCCAAAACCCTAAGCCCTAAGCCCTGAGCCCGAACCCCGCCCTAAACCCTAAGCCCTAACACCTCAACAGCAGCCCTAAGGATCTTGTGAGCCCTGAAGCCCCAAAGCTAGCAACCCATAACCCCCCCAAACCCCTCCCCAGCCCCTAGCCCCGAAAATTCTAAGCCCTAAACCCTCTACCAGCCCCTCAATCCTCGGTCGCACACCAGAAGAAGGAACACTCCTAGACCCCAAGCCTGAAATTCCCAACCCTCGAATACCTTGGTGACGCGGTGGTACCCTTGTTCCCTGTTTTTTTGAGTTCAAGGTTCCCTTATAAAGAAACCAACCGACAGAAGGGTGCCTGTATAGTAATTAGCATGGTTGCTGGCCCTCCAAGATTCTAAGTCCAAGCGACCGAGATCTTTGACCCTTCAACCCAAGTCCCGACAGGGCCTTAGGGTTTAGGGGGCTCCCGGGTAGGTAAAGGTAGCCCTAACGCAAGTCCCGAAACTTAAGGGTTTTAGTTTTTTTTGTAGGGCTAAAGGTAGCCAGAACTGAGCCCTAACCCTAAACCCTAAACCCTAAACCCTAAACCCTAAACCCTAAACCCTAAACCCTAAACCCTAAACCCTAAACCCTAAACCCTAAGCCCTAAACCCTAAGCCCGAAAACCCGAAGTTTCCCAGGATCCGGGCGAGACAGTCCAGCTCCAGACTTTCGAGGCCTCAAGAGCTTGTTGGGATCTTCCCCCCTTAGACTCGCAGCTCCTTAGTTGGGATTCTCATAAGGGGCTGCTAATAACCCCAAACCCTAAACCCTAAACCCTAGATGCTAAACCCTACCCCTAAACCCTAAACCCTAAACCCTAAACCCTAAACCCTAAACCCTAAACCCTAAACCCTAAACCCTAAACCCTAAACCCTAAACCCTAAACCTAAAACCCTAAACCCCAAACCCCAAAGCCTGCAGGAGGGCGACGACAGCCCACGCACCCCGCGGCCTCAGATCACCCGCTCGGCAGGGCTCTCAGAATGTGAGGTGAGGGTCCCCAAGCCCCCCCACCCCTCCCCATCCCCCCTGCCCCCCCACCCCATGCCCCACCCCGCCCGAGACATCCAAAAACCCTTAAGTGTTGGGGAGTTGCGGGAGTTTAGGGCATCCAAGAAACAAATCTGGGAGTTTAGGGTTCATAGTTTCTTTTCTTTTCGCTAAGACAAGCCTGCGCATGTGTGCAGTAGTTGGAAGGTCTTCATCAGTCGGGGTGTTCCAAACCAGGTGTTCCCAACATAAGGGCATTGCTTACAGGTGCTTGCATGTTGCTGACTTGGTGCTTACATTGTGCTTACATGGCGCTTGCATAGTGCGCGCACAGCACTTTTTAGTTCTCATCACGTGGTGCTTACATTGTGCTTACATGGTGCTTATGTCGTGCTTACATGGAGCTTACACGGTGCTTACAATGGTGCTTAGATAGTATTCCGATGCGCAGCAACTTACATGGTACTTCCGGGGCACTTACAAGTGATTCTCATATCGGGACTAACATGAATGTGTAGTTTTCTCTCTGTGTGTAGCAATCTGACCTTACATCATGACCTCTTAGATCCTTGCCACATGGAGCGGACGCTCCCTCACATATGAACGACACCACTTTACTAGTCACCTGCATCCTCCCTTGACTAAACCCTAAACCCTAAACCCTAAGCCCTAAGCCCTAAGCCCTAAGCCCTAAGCCCTAAGCCCTAAGCCCTAAGCCCTAAGCCCTAAGCCCTAAGCCCTAAGCCCTAAGCCCTAAGCCCTAAACCCCGAACTCCAAACCCGAAACCCGAAACCCTAAACCCTAACCCTAAACCCTAAACCCTAAACCCGGAAACCCGAACCCTGAGCCCCATCACCCAAATTGTGTGCCAGGTCTCCGACCCGGCCGTCCGAACGTCCGGAGGGCTGCAGCCAGGAACTCTGAGGCTTTTGAGGGGTTTAGGGTTTAGGGTTTAGGGTTTAGGGTTTAGGGTTTAGGGGTTTAGGGGTTTAGGGTTTAGGATTTAGGGTTTAGGGCTGTTTAGGGTTTTGTAGGGATTGGGGTTGGGAGGTGCTGCGGGTTGAGGGTTCGGAGGTGCCAGGGTGCAGGGGCTTTGTGTCCAGGAATCTCTCGGGTTTAGGGTTTAGGGCTAGGGGGTTAGGTTTAGGGTTCAGGGTCTAGGGTTTAGGGTTTACAGTGACAGAGTAGCAGCTACAGCCGCGCCAGAGAGCGCCATTCTCTTGCTTTGCTACCTGGCCAAGATGTCCTCACTATGTGGCAGGGTTTCTGGTGGCGGGACAGGAAGCTTGGGTTGGATTTCAGAATGGCCATCCGTCCACCCACCCACCAACCTGGCCACGGCACTTGCAAGCAGGGGTGCCACTAGCACCAGCTCCTCCAGCACAGTTATGTCGTGCAGATCCCTCTTATGGGGTTTCTGGGCCCAGGCTCTTGTAAACCCAGACCGCTGGGAGGATCCAAAACGTCGAGCCCCCAAATAGTACCCCACACCACTAGAGGGTCATTCCTAGGAAAGCTTAAGAGGGATCTACTTTCTGTACCCTAGTGGTCATTTCTAGGAACCCTTAAGAGGGATCTACTTCTGGATCCTCCCAGTATTCTGGGAATTTCTGAGCTGCCAAAGCAGCTCACTGAGCCACAGTTCCTTCTGCGTCTCGCATGCCTCATCGCCCTGAGGACTGACAGTGTATATAGTTTGGGGTCTAGGGTTTAGGGTTTAGGGTGTAGAACCCTAAGCTGCCCTAAGCTTGCTGTTGGTTAGCAGGGAATGGGGGAATGAGGTACCCCATGTAATCCCTTAAAGGGTATATATAGGGCCCAAATTCCCTCATGCCCTGCGCACCAACAGTAAGTATGCCCTAAACCCAATCTCTCGGTCCGAGGTCGCCGCGCAGCCATCGCCCCCGACGGAACTCGACGTTGACGAGCAATGCTGGGAGCACAGGAGTCTCTACACCTACAAGTAGGGCTTACATGGGGTTTGGGGTCTTTTTTGGGCGGAGTAGGGTCGAAGATTAGGGTGGGGGGGGGGAGGGGGGGAGGGGGTTCTTGTCAGGAGTCCAAGGGGCATTGAAAAGGGGAGGTCCCCTCCCCACGCCCAAGGGGCACAAGAAAGATGGAATCCCTGTTTTCAGCGAAGGGGTCGGCTAAACCCCAAACTCAGCAAAGGGTCGCTGTTCGGGAAGGTCAGACACCATGATCGGGGCATGTTGCGACAGATGTTGCGCGTTGTTTCTGGTACTCGTACTTCGTTTGAAGTACCTTGACTCCTAACATCCCCGGAGATGCTGTTGGCCAGACGAGATTTGCGGGATGCTGAAGGTTTGGGGTTTATGTAGAGATTGTGGGGGCTGAGCCCTCAGTTTGGGTAGCCTGTGATGGCCTTCGCAGCTGTTTGGGAAGCAGCCTCGGGGCAGTATCTCCCCTCGGCGGTGGGGCTCGATTCTGGGAGTGCGGTGGCGCCGTCCTTGCTTGGACTCTTTGCCAGAGATGCCCGAAACCCTCTACCCTCACTCAACCTTAAGCTCCAAAAGCCTAAACCCTAGGCTACCCTGTCTGTTGTGTTTTTGGTTGCTTCAGTTTGTAAGCCGAAACACCGGCGCGGTGCTTTTCTCGTTTTGCAAGCGGAACTCGAGTCATCTGAGTCATCTTCAGTCGCAGATCACGACTGCTTGAAGACTCTTTCTTGGGGCACAAGGAGGTCGGCGCAGCTCCGTCTGTCGTACCAGTGCATGCACATCGGTTGCGCTGAAAAAGTGACGAACCTCACAGGCACCTTCTTGGGCCTCCGAGAAGAGGCTCGATGATACTTTAGGGCATCGAGGCCCCTAAAGCCTGGAGCCCATCCCCCGAAGCCGCGTGTGACCTCGCGTCAGCGGGCTTGTGTAGGCGACAAGCCGGACAAGCGAACGAGGCTCAGTGCGAAGTCTTCATCTCTTCCCCTACAATTTTATTTAACCCCGCCCCCTACCCCCTATATAATGTGAAATACCCCCTCCCATATACTATCATATTCCTATAACGGGGGGTATCCAAATATTAGGGGGTAGGTCGGGTTCAATATGCGGGGGAGGGGATTAACACTTAACTTATGTTCGACACGCTGGCCAGCCCATTTTTTGAGGGCCCGTCTTCCTTTGAAACCACCGGCAGGGTGAAAGAATGGAGAAAGCGGAAGCAGGCGCAGTTTAAAAGATAGAGCAAGAGGGACCAAAAGCAGCTGCTTCCGCTTTAGTCCACAAGGCATGCGCTCACGTAGGGGCTCCTCCCGAATGCTCTCGCTGCAACTTGCCTGATCAGGCCAGATCCTTCTTGAGGCCTGCAACGGTGATCCGAAACCCGCCGCAACTCGAAACCTAGCAGGGCTTTTGTCGCACGAACCAAGCCAAAGGCACGGGGGCGCCGCCCCCTTCAAAATAGCAGAAAAGAAGCCGACCGCCACGTCCTTGGAACACATGCCCCTTATACTAGCAGTCCTTAATATAGTCCCTATCAAGGACTGGTAGTATAAGGGGGACCCTAAACCCTAAACCCTAAATAAACCCTAAACCCTAAACCCTAACCCTAAACCCTAAACCCGAAACCCTAAACCCTAAACCCTGAGGTGTCGGATTTCTTCCTCACGATGAATGGCAGCCACCCGGGCCCGGAGGAAGAGGAGCAGAGTGAAGAACAAGAGCCTGGTGCCCAGATGGGCCAGACTTCGAAAATTTAGCCCTAAACCCTAAACCCTAAACCCTCAGCCCTAAACCCTAAACCCTAAACCCTAAACCCTAAACCCTAAACCCTAAACCCTAAACCCTAAACCCTAAAGCCCCCAAACCCCTAGGCTTCAGTTCAGTAGGCCTGAGTGCGAGTCTGTGACCCCTAAGCCTCAAGCTTGGGGCCGCCCAGCGGCGCCCCTTCTTTCTTTCCCTACTACACACCCAAACCTTGGGATGTTCCCCCTTAAAATGGGGATTAGAGTACCCCCTATTTCAATCTTTAGACTCTTTGAAACGGGGGCAGCATCGCAACCCAAGCCTCGTACACCCAACCCCTTCAATCTTCCGAGAAGAACCCCAAAAAGCCCCCCAAAGCTCTAGAATCCCAAAGTTCCGAACCCCTAAAGCCCCAGACCTGATACAAAGCCTAAAATCTGAAGCTGTGGCTGTGAAGCAGAGCCCGTTCAGCTTGTAAAACGCATTGCAGCAAAGAAGCCCGGGAGCCAGTCCCCAACCCCCCCCCGTCCCTGATGGAACTGTTGCAGACCTTTTCTCACCCCTCCGAAGCCTAAAACCCTAAACTCTAAACCCTAAACCCTAAACCCTAAACCCTAAACCCTAAACCCTAAACCCTAAACCCTAAACCCTAAACCCTAAACCCTAAACCCAAAACCCCAACCCCAAAACCCCAACCCCCCCCCCCCTCCCCCCCCATCCCCCCCCCCCCCCCCCCCCCCCCCCATCCCCCCCCCCCATCCCCCCCCCCCCATCCCCCCCCCTCCCCCCCCCCCCATCCCCCCCCCCATCCCCCCCGTCCCCCCCCCCCATCCCCCAGAAAAAAAAAAAAACACCAACGCAACAACTGTGAGGCAAATGCGGCACGCGATGAGCGACCAGCCTGCGGGCCGCCTGGAGCTCTTTGCCGGAGCCCCGGAGGTTCATTTTTGGGATTTAGGGTTCTTGGGGGTTTTAAGGGTTTAAGGGTTTTTGGGGGTTTTAGGGTTTTTGGGGGCTTTAAGGGTTTAAGGGTTTCAGGGTTTTTGGGGTTTAAGGGTTTAAGGGTTTAAGGGTTTAAGGGTTTAAGGGTTTAAGGGTTTAAGGGTTTTAGCGTTTTTGGGCAGGGTTTAAGGGTTTTAGGGTTTTTTGGGGGGTTTTTGAGGGTTTTTGAGGGTTTTAGGGGTTTAGGGGTTTTAGGGGTTTAGGGATTTCAGGGTTTCAGGGTTTCAGGCTTTTAGGGATTTTAGCGGTTTTAGGGTCTTAGGGTCTTAGGGTTTTTGGGGGTTTTAGGGGTTTTAGGGTTTAGGGTTTGCTGGTTTGTGCGGTTTAGGCTAGGTTCTGCCTCCTGCGCTGTGTTCTGGGCCGTTGCCCGGCACTGTGCTGGCTGCTTTTTCAGGCTCACATCGGCCAGCATGGCAGGGTTCAGTTTAGGGTTTAGGGTTTAGGGTTTGGGGTTTAGGGTTTAGGGTTTAGGGTTTAGGGTTCAGGGTTTAGGGTTTAGGGTTTAGGGTTCAGGGTGAGGGGATTCAGGGCTGGAGTCCGACCCCCTGCTGTGGCGCAGGGCCCAAGCGCCGAATTTGCTTCGCCCTACGCCTTAAGCCCTCTCAACCCGGACCATGAGCAACCCTACAAGTCTAAACGGCCCTCAACACCCTAAACCCTAAACCCTAAACCCTAAACCCTGAACCCTAAACCCTAAACCCTAAACCCTCAACCGTAAGCCGTGTGTTGCTGAGGTAAGGTCAAGCTCCGGAGTCATTCGGCAGATGGTCTCGCTGGCCGCGTGTTTCTTTCGAAGTCCAAGGGCCCGAAGTCCTGACCCTCTCAACCCAGCATCCGAGTCCTCTGCTTGAGGGTTAGGGTTTAGGGTTTAGGGTTTCGGGTTTAGGGTTTCGGTTTAGGGTTTAGGGTATCCCTTCTGGCCCTTGGGGGTGTTTTGGGAGTTAAAGGATTGGTGTTTTTTTGGAGGAAGAGGCGTTCAACCCTCGACCCTGCACCCTAAGCCCTGAACCTCTGGGGATTGGTCCCTCGAGAAGCCCTAAGCCCTAAGCTGACCCGGGAGCCAGATTTGAGGGTTTACGAAAATAGGGGACCCCCTAAAGTAGACACCCAAATAGTAGGATTCCCTTATTGTGAGGACCCCGAACTCCTCCTTAGGGTTCAGGGTTGGGGCAGGGCTTAGGGCTTAGGGCTTAGGGCTTAGGGCTTAGGGCTTAGGGCTTAGGGCTTAGGGTTTAGGGTTTAGGGTTTAGGGTTTAGGGTTTAGGGTTTAGGGTTTAGGGTTTAGGGTTTAGGGCTCCTTGTAAGCCCTAACTGCCCCGATCAAGGAGCCCCAAGGATGCCTGGCGCCTCAAAAGGGTTTAAGAACTCCCTAAACCCTAAACCCTAAACCCTAAACCCTAAACCCTAAACCCTAAACCCTAAACCCTAAACCCTAAACCCTAAACCCTAAACCCTAAACCCTAAACCCTAAACCCTAAACCCTAAACCCTAAACCCTAAGCCCTTCCGCGCCAGGTGGAGGAAGAACAGAAGAGATGGCACGAAACACAGGACGATTCCGGCCTTCTGTTTGGGTGGAAGTTGTAGGGTTTAGGCACCCTAAGCGCAGAAGCCTGAAAGCCCAAAACCCCTAGACCCTAAACCCTAAGCCCGAAGCCCTAAGCCCTAAGCCCTAAACCCTAAGCCCTAAGCCCTAAACCCTAACCCCACCACCCCTATGTAAACCCCTAAACCCCGAGAAGCCCCTTTCGGTGCTAAGCCCTGAACCCTGAATCCCGCAAAACTTGAACCTTGAACACGTTCATGGAAGAAAGGATTCAGGGTTTAGGGTTTAGGGTTTAAGGCTTAGGGTTTAGGGTTAAGGGTTGAGGGCAAAATTTTCGAAGTTTAGCCCATCTGGGCACCAGGATCTTGTTCTTCACTCTGCTCCTCTTCCTCCGGGTTCGAGAGGCTGCCATTCATCGTGAGGAAGAAGTCCGACACTTCAGGGGTTTAGGGCTTAGGGTTTAGGTTAGGGTTTAGGCTTACGGCTGCGAAAGGTCTAAGTTCTGATGGAGTTGAGCAGCGGCCTCAACCCTAAACCCTAAACCCTAAACCCCCTAAACCCCCTAAACCCCCTAAACCCCCTAAACCCCCTAAACCCCCCAAACCCTAAACCCCCTAAACCCCCTAAACCCCCTAAACCCCCTAAACCCCCTAAACCCCCTAAACCCTAAACCCTAAACCCTAAACCCTAAACCCTAAACCCTAAACCCTAAGCCTAAACCCTAAACCCTAAACCTTAAACCATCTATTGATTTTACCTCGCGTGCATTTGATATCTAATCCTAAACCCTAAACCCTAAACCCTAAACCCTAAACCCTAAACCCTAAACCCTAGTCCCCTCAAGCCCTTCTCTCCAGGAGCAGTGGCTCCTCGCAGCGAAAGCGGCGAGGGACGAAGACCACGAGGTCGGGGGTTTGCCTCGACAAAGAGGAGGGGGTAGAGTTTAGTAAAGGGTTTAGGGTGTAGGGTTTAGGGTTTAGGGTATAGGGTTTAGGATTTGATATTAAATGCCCGCGAGGTACAAGCAATACATGTCTACTGTAGCCGGGCATAGCAAACGAGCGCGAAAACGCTGCAACAGAAGTGAATGTAGAAGAAAGAGGCGAAGGAATGAAGCACCCCGGACATTTCCGAGAGACGGGCGAAGATGAGGTTAATCCACGATCTAACAGTTGTAAAGGGCACAGCGAGCCAAGTGCCCAGGGTCTTGTTGTTAGGCCGTTGGCTTCCTCGCAATCAAGGACGCCTCACTTTCTGAAAGACGAGGGTCGTGGGAACTCACCTGTCAAGGAGTGTTGCTACCTTAGGACCTTTTTGAGGTGACGGCGCCTGTACCGCGCTGCGTTAAAGCATCTTTTCAGGTTTCAGGGCTTATGTTTCTTGTTTGGGGGTGGGGGGGTTGGGGTGGCGGGGTGGGGGTGGGCGGGGTGGGTTGGGCGGGGCAAGAATGTCAATTCGTGTGGCGGCCATGGCCAAATCACGGGTAAAAACCGCATTGTCGCCTCCTTGCACAGCATACTGCGCAAGGAGGTGCAGCGAGACACGTTGTCACAAGCATCTATGCCTTTGGCGACCATGCCGGAAACACTGGCATTTACAGCGTTTTTGCCTGATTGTACAGCATACTGCGCAAGGATGTGGAGCAAGACGCGTTGTCACAAGCGTATAAAGCCTTGGCCGGCCTCTGCAGGGAGTGTAAGGCCTGACAAAGTTTCGTTTGGAGTGGGCGCGAAGCGCTGCGGAAACCTGGTAAGCCTCTAAAAATATAGTGTGTTTCAGGGATTTGTGCCTTTCTGCTTGAGGCACTTTGCTGTAAAGAGTGCGTTTGCCAGGGTTTTTGCATCGTGCAACAACAAGCTGTATGCAAAAACGCACGGCGCACTGCAGGCGCCGTTACACTTTCAACCAAGCAGCTGCAGCCAAAAGACCTGTTAAACGCCATTTTTCGGAGTGTTGTGTTCAGTATATTCCTTTCTAGTTAAGGGCACCAAGAATGGTCGCAATCCAGATCTACCCCAAGTGCTTCGACGCCTTGGAGGGCCTAGAGGGTTTAGGGTTTAGGGTTTGAGGGTTTTAAGGGTTTGGGGCTCGGGCTATCGGGTGTTTTGGGGTACTGCTTTCGGGCTCCCGGGCTCAGGGATCGAGAACCTTCGTAGGGTTCCCCTATGAGCCCCTGAACCCCGTGCAGCACTAAACTCTTGATCCCTAACCTCTAGACCCCAAGCCCTACGGTCAAAACTTATGATAAGAAAGGTTCGAAGGTCCACCAGAGTCTGGGACATTTCTTAACCAGGCAGATGTATTAAGAAAGGTAGATTTGAGGCGAGAGTCTTGAAAACATTTCTTATTCAACCTGACCAACCCTTTGCTTTCTCCGCCCTCCAGCCCTCTAGCCCTCTAGCCCTCCAGCCCTCCAGCCCTCCAGCCCTCCAGCCCTCCAGCCGCCCAGCCGCCCTCCAGCCGCCCTCCAGCCGCCCTCCAGCCGCCCTCCAGCCGCCCTCCAGCCGCCCTCCAGCCGCCCTCCAGCCGCCCTCCAGCCGCCCTCCAGCCGCCCTCCAGCCGCCCTCCAGCCGCCCTCCAGCCGCCCTCCAGCCGCCCTCCAGCCGCCTCCAGCCGCCCTCCGCCACCTCCAGCCGCCCTCCAGCCGCCCTCCAGCCGCCCTCCAGCCACCGCCCTCCAGCCGCCCTCCAGCCGCCCCCTCAGCCGCCTCCAGCCGCCCCAGCCGCCTCCAGCCGCCCTCCAGCCGCCCTCCAGCCGCCCTCCAGCCCTCCAGCCGCCCTCCAGCCGCCCTCCAGCCCTCCAGCCCTCCAGCCCTCCAGCCCTCCAGCCCCAAAGATTTTGGAGCAAGAAAGAATTCAGATTGACAGGTCTAGGACAGGGGCTGGAGGGCTGGAGGGCTGGAGGGCTGGAGGGCTGGAGGGCTGGAGGGCTGGAGGGCTGGAGGGCTGGAGGGCTGGAGGGCTGGAGGGCTGGAGGGCTGGAGGGCTGGAGGGCTGGAGGGCTGGAGGGCTGGAGGGCTGGAGGGCTGGAGGGCTTAATCCTGGAGGGCTTAATCCTGGAGGGCTTAATCCTGGAGGGGTTAATCCTGGAGGGCTTAATCCTGGAGGGCTTAATCCTGGAGGGCTTAATCCTGGAGGGAGGGCTTAATCCTGGAGGGCTTAAGGCTGCTGGAGGGCTTAATCCTGGAGGGCTTAATCCTGGAGGGCTGGAGGGCTGGAGGGCGGAGGGCTGGAGGGCTGGAGGGCTGGAGGGCTGGAGGGCTGGAGGGCTGGAGGGCTGGAGGGCTGGAGGGCTGGAGGGCTGGAGGGCTGGAGGGCTGGAGCCTTGCAAAAAGGCCATTCAATTTGTAATTACGTTTGGGTTGCGATTCAGACTCTGAATATAACTATTTTTCTCAATTCGAGAGTCTAATTTCTTGCTTCATAAAATTTCTTAACACAAAGTTCCACCGTAACCCCTAAACCCCAAACCGGAACCACAGGCGGGCAAGCGCTGGGCCTTCCAGGGGCCCATTATGCCCCTTGCCCTGGCGTTTGGGCGCACTGGGGGTTTCTGGCTTTGGGGGTTTTGGGTTTTTGAAGGGTTTTGGGGGTTTTGGGGGTTTTGGGGGTTTTGGGTTTTTTGGGGGTTTTGGGGGTTTTGGGGTTTTGGGGGTTTTGGGGGTTTTGGCGGTTTTGGGGGTTTTGGAGGTTTTGGGGGTTTTGGGGTTTTGGGGTTTTGGGGCTTTTTTTATTAGGGGGGGGGGGGGGGGGGGGGGGGGGGGGGGGGGGGGGGGTTGGAGGTTTTCCGAGGGTTGGGGGTTGTTCGGCAACTTTTCGGAGGTTTCAGGTTTTTAGGGCCAGGTTTTGGTGTTTTGTTTGGAGTCTGAGTGGGACAGAGAAAACGGGGAGCAGCGGAGCAAACACATAGACGGGCCCTCCGGAGGCCATCGCACGCATATGCACGCACGCACTTAAACTCACACCTACAATCACACTTACACTTACACTTGCACTTACACTTACACCTTCACTTACACTTACACTTACACTTACACTTACACTTACACTTACACTTACACTTACACTTACACTTACACCCACACTTACGCTTAGGCTTACCCTTACGCTTGCACCTACACTTACGCTTGCACTTGCAATCATACGTGCACGGACACTTGCACTTACACTTGCAGTCACCTGCCCGTCTCGGCGATAAGGCCATTTGGGGTTTGGGGGTTTTACTGAGTGTTTTGAGCTTAGAGTTTTGAGTTTTGAGTTTAGAGTTTAGAGCTTTGACCGTTTTAGGGTGGATTTTCCTTCTTTTCGGATGAGGGTTTAGTGCAGGGCAAGCAAAGCAGAAACAATGAACCTCAGAATCCAAACCCTAAACCCCTACAGCGTCAGATAGGGTTTAGGGTTTAGGGTTTAGGGTTTAGGGTTTATTGTTTAGGGTGTTCAGAAAGCCCGGAGGCAGCAGCTTGGATGGACTCTGATGGCCTTGACAAGCAACTAGCAACCTGCTTGCTACACTCAGGTTCTAAGGTACAGGGTTCAGGGTTTGGGGGGCTCAGGGCCGAATAAATTCCACGGTTATCCCCTTGCTTGCCACGGTTATCCCCTTGCTACTTAAGGTTCTAAGGTACAGGGTTCAGGGTTTGGGGCTGAGGGCTGAACAGTTTTTTACGGCTATCTCCTTTGCTTCCCACATGCGCTCTAAAGGAAGCTCTAAAGCCCTAATCCCAAAACCACAGCCGAGGGGAAGCAACGAGCAGCTGTACCTGGACGGCAGCCGAAGCGTGTGCATGACCAAAGCCCGAATACAGGCACAACTCTATGCTGTTTGAAGGTTTTTTGGAGTCTCTGATATTTCCTGGGGGTTGTTACAAAACTGGGGTGTTTAGGCAGGGTGTCCACGCTTGATCCAAGTCTTAAGCCCAACTCTGAACCCAAGAGTTCATTAAACCCTACAGCCCTCCAAGCCCAGGGGGCCAAGAACCCAGAGCTGCCCTGCAGCAAGCTAGAAGCTCGAAGCCCTGAGCCCCTGAAGAGATCGTAGCTGCTGTCAGATGATTAAGAATACCGGTTTAGGGTTGAGGGTTTGGCGTTTGGGGTTTAGGGTTAGGGTTTGGGGTTTAGGGTTTAGGGATTAGGTCTCGTTTTTTGCTAGGACATGCTGGATTAGCACGTCTTCTTCCTGAGAATGGAGAAGAACCGGAAGATATAGCGTGTAGACGCCTGGCATGGTGAGCAAATGCAATGCCCGTGGTCTGAAAAGTTCACCACCAGTAACATAAGATAGCTAATGCATGACAGAGAAACGGAGAATGTGCATGCCATCCAAGATCGCTGATGACAGGATGCAATCAGCATTAACCCCGATACAGGGCAGCTCAACAAGCCAGAGAATCCAAATGTACGGTTTTCCTGTGCTTGATGAGTGCTGCCCCTCGACCCTCAACCCCCCCAAACCCCCGCCCCAAAACCCCAAGTCCCCGCCCCAAACCGCCGCCTCCCCCCAACTCCGATTGCAGGTGTCCCGCGTACTACAGTCGCAGTTCTTCGAGCTGGCGCTGGGGCTCGTGATCGTGGCACCCCGGCCATGGTTTAGGGTTCAGGGGGCTTCAGAGCTTGGGGGCGCAGAGTTCTGTGGCCCTGGGCATCTTAAACCCTAAAATCCTAAATCCTGAACCCTAAACCTTCCCTCCGCTGTGGTGTGGCTGTGGGGGGGGCTTCTGGTTTAGAGCTCTGGAACCTCGTTCGAGGTTTTTTTGGGCTTTCAGGGCTTTGGGTTTCAGAGCTTACAGGGTTTAAAGTCCAGGTTTAGGGTTTTTACAACTAGGGTTTGGGCTTGGGGCTTGAAGGCGTCCCTTGGCCCAGACCTGCTGGACCGTACCATGGCAGGGGGGAGAGGGTGTGGGTCCGGCCGCCAGACGCCCGACCATATGCATACACACACACACACACACATATATATATATATATGTTTATATGCATATAACAAGATGTATACATGCACATATACAAAGGCACAACATGCATAAGGCCCGAATCCTAACACGGCACGAATTCTAAA